GGGCAAGATTTAGACGAAGCAACATGTGGGCAAGAACAGTAAGCACACTTCAAATCATGATCACAGTCAGTGCTCTCCTGGTTGTCACCATAACGATGACATACCACAGAGTTACAACAAGATTTGGAACCATGACCGAAATGTTGGCACTTGTAGCATCGGGGCAGATTGGGGACATATACGTCGACTGGAAATAACCTGCTTTAATTGACTGGGGAATAGTTGTACGGGCAAACGTCATGAGATAAGTATTTGTGTTTGTGATGACAGCATTTTTCTTTATCGTGAAACGTTTAACTGTAGTTACGTACTGGTCTCTTAACTCAGTAGCAGTTTCTTCTTCAGACATGCTGGACAGACAACGTATATGTACCCTGTCATGAACAATGCCTCGACAAAAATTTAATGTTCTGTGCACACCGCAACCTCAATATTGGCAAATGTAGAGATAGATAAAATATTGAGAGATTGCTGTCTCCGTGCACACTCCACCAGAAGCGAACCACTATAGAGATGGGTGACGTTCTTGACCTCCCCGCAAATCCCGGACACAGCCTTACACATAGCAAAAGGATTCAATCACCAGGAATCTATCTCAGGCATCATTATTTTTAGAAAGATTTCCAGTTTTCAATTTCCTCTAGACGTCTCTTTTTTCATTTCCAGATGAACCAGATTGTTGTTGAGCCATGATGAAAAGAAAATGATTCAGTACCCCTGCTCCTCACCTGCTATCGAGTGTCAACAAGGACAGTGTTATTTTGCACCGGATATCCAGGATGCAAACACCAGGGATACAGGGACGTTATACTCCAGGGAAGATGACACAAACAGCTGTATTTGTTTACCAACTCAATTCCAGACCCGTGAAGATTCCGGCGTAGAAGAGGTCTTCAGCAACCCATGCTTGCTGTAAAAGGCGACTATGCTTGTCGTCAAAGGTGACTAACGGGATCGGATGGTCAGGCTCGCTGACTTGGTTGATGCTTGTCATCGATCCAAATTGCGTGGAACGATGCTCATGATATTAATCACTGGATTGTCTGGTCCAGACTCGTTTATTTACAGACCGCCGTCATATAGCTTGAAATGAGTGCGGCGTTAAACAACAAACCAAGCAAAGCCAGACTGGTTCCGTCCATGACAAGAAATTGGAAACGTGTATTATTTGGAGGTCAAAATCACCAGATTGGTCAATGAGCCACCGCCTTCTGGCATAGGACTCTAGGCAATTTTTAGATTTGCATAAGTTGGTTTATCCTATTTCATCATCAAACTGTTTCAAATAGTATATCTCATTTGACAGTTATCCATGCACAGGGCATGGCGTGCCCAGCCGACCAGTTCTGTCATTCCCTTGAGAGGAACAGCAATGGTAAGAATCGTACTGTCTTAAATCAAGTTTATCAGTAGTTTTAAGGAACGTTTCTTATAAACAGAATGCCTTTGGTTTGTAATCTTGAATTTAAAGCTGATGGTCATTAAAATTATGTGAAGGAACTCTACAATATTGTATTAAATTAGCAGAGTAAGTCATGGAGGTTTAATTGGAGATTGACCCTTACTTCACCTGGATTGGCCCGTTTCTATCAATCGGCTGGTCACGCCATGCCCTATGCATGGAATACTTTAAAGAATAATTTCGAAATATATCAAACTATTTTGATCAGGATATATCGTAAACTTGATCATGTAAATTTTGCTTAGAGTCCTATGCCAGAAGGCGGTGCCTCATGGGCCAATCTGGCATTATAAACCTCTGAATGCTGTGTTTCTCCAGAAAAGTGGCATTGGCGAACCAGCCTGGCATTTCTTCTTTCAGACTCCATAGCTATTCAAGTTTCTATTTGCTGGGGTATAACATCCTTGTAGCCCTGGTGGTGCAGGCGGACTTCCACTGCACAATCATCCTTGTTGACACTCCATGGCGGGTGGAGAGCAGAGATGTCAAATCCTTTACTTGCACCGTCGCTTTTCCTATTACATCTGGTTCATCAAAGAATAAGCATAGACATGTTGAGTCTTTATCATCTGATGACGGCTCGTCTGATATTGTTAACTCGTGGCCAAAGTTCATAGTGATTTCATCTGCAGATGACAATCCTTTGAAACAAAACCACGTTGCTATCTCCTTGGACATTAAGGCATCTGTTGAGAGGTAAAGAAATGTATTACACCTTCGAAGTGGTTCACTGTTAGTGGAATGTGCACGGAGACAACAATCTGACAATCTCTTGAAATAAAAAACAGTTTGTGAATACACCAGATGTTGTCTCAGTGCACCAGACACTGAACTCTCCTGCAGTGGTATAGTCAGAGAAGGGCTCGTTGTCTTTCAGACATGAGCGAGGAGGAAATTGCAGCTGAGCTGAAAAATCAAGTAATAATTGCTGTAAAGCAATTTACAAAATGCAAAGATGATGGCACAATTACAAACCTAAACACTTATCTGTTTACATTTTCACTTTCTTCAGTTCCAAAGAATATAAAAGCTGGATACTTCAACATCGGAGTAGAGGTATACGTACCAAAGCCGCTCCGATGCTTCAAATGTCAAAAGTTTGGACATGGGGCCAAGTTTGGCCGTAACCATACAGTATGTTCCCGTTGTGGTGGAACTCATGAGGGCTCTGAGTTCTCCAACAGCATCAAGTGTGCTAACTGCAACGGTGAACACTTGGCCTCATCCAAGTCCTGTCCTTTATACCATCGTGAAACAAAAAAATAAAAAATAAAACACGCAACCAATATTTCGTACTTCGAAACGAAAATGTTGGTACCTCTTCTTACAAATTCAACTTTAACATATTCAGCTGCAGTTTCCTCTCCAGTTCCTGTTGCCAGACCAACCATAATATCGACATCGTGTCAAACATCGGTATCTTAGCTAGATGAACAGTTTATCCTTGATGAAACTCAAAACTGTTATTCCATCTGATGTTCCTCCCTCGTCAAGATGGAATTTGACCAAAGCCAACTTGACTTTGTTTGAAACACTTTCATCTAACAAGTTAAAACCTGACCTGTTTACTGATGTCCCTAATACTGAACAACTGTTCGCTGATGAACGAAACAAAATAGCTGATACCATCTACGATTCCACACAACGTACACCATGGTACAATTCTACCTGCAAACAAGCTCGGAAGGCTCGGAAAAAGGCAGAGCATTATTTCCGTCGCCATCCTATTATACATAATTTGAATCAATGTAAAAGATTGAATACTTAAGCTCGGCGAACGTCTAAATAAAAGAAACGCCAGTCTTGGCGAAATTTTGTTTAAAAAATGAACTCATGTACGCCAATGTCAAAAGTATGGAACATGATCAAACAAATCAAAGGTAAGGGTTTTAAATCTAACATTCGCCATCTCAAAAATGGTAATGAACTTTTGACAAATACTACAGATATTGCAAATAAACTTGGTGAAACTTTTGCTAAACATTCTAACTATGTACCTCAATTTCAAAAATATGAAAAAACAGCAAGAAAAGAAATTTTAAGTCAGATAATGGGGAAGATTATAATGAAATATTTTCTATTCATGAACTTCATACTGCCCTTGGGAATCAGAAACTAATCTTTTAATCTATCTGCAGGAACATAATCAGTTACGACATACCTACAATACCTACCGATATGTATTTACCCTATGGATCCAAGGATGGTGGTTCAGTGGCTGGCGCCACTGTTATTGGATCGAAAACAATCCCGTCAAGATTATCAGATGCTTGTTCCATTTTTACAGTAGAATCTAAAGCTATTTTAACACCTCTGAACACATTAATCAACAATCCAAATATAAACAATCAGTCATATTTTCTGATTCGCTTTCATGTCGTCAGGCCATTCAACATAATGCATGTCATAATCCAATTTTATTAGAAATTGTCCAATGTTATAATGATCTTGCTACTGGCCACTACGACATCTTTTTTCGTGGGTTACCCAGTCATGCTGGCACAACTGGTAACACGATGCTGCAAAAGTGGGACTCAACAAATATGTGACACCACTTCAAATTCAATACAGTGATTATAAACCAGTGCTCAGTTGTTACATCCGAGATCTGATGCAAAAGAAGTGGGACACCCAAGTAGGTATCAATAAAAAACATGAAATTTTACCAAATATCGGTTATACCTACTTGGGCTGTCAGTCAAGTTTTGATGAGTTCATTATGCGACGATGTCGTATTGGCCATTCAAGATATACCTATGAATATATATTGAAAGGTGAGGATTCTCCATTCTGTATCCCTTGTGATGAAAGAATCACAGTCAAGCATGTACTGCTTGACTGTATTGTTTTTTCTATCACAGGGATAAATATTTCAGTGCAACATCAATAAAGGATCTTTTTAATAATGTTTCGTCTACTTTAATAATTGGCTTTTTAAAAGAAAAAAAATGATGGATAAATTTTGATTATAATATAGTATAATGTAAGTGGTTTTTAATTTGGAAGAATTATTTCATAACTGAGATTTTTATTGGCTGTCCATTCACAGGGGGTTGAAGTATCGTAAAACAACTGTCCCCCTGGGAGGGTACGTGAGTCCGGTATCATTCCTCTTTGATTTTAATCGTAGTAGTATTGTTGATTTTAACTGTTTGGCTAATCTTTCTGACCATCGCCAGTAGCCAGAGGGATGGTGTAAATCCTGCTGGGGTACCATGTAGGTAGCAGAAGTACCGTAATTCCCATGGTCCCTAGTATGGTGGCCTAACTTTGGTTGCAGGCGATCTAAAGCCCGTTTTTTATAATGTGTCGTCTGTTATAATGTAATGATGTTATTGTTCTAAAACTAGTTTTACAATTATAATCTGTGATATATTGCTGATTGTTGTACAGTCCTTCGTGGACAGTTTTTTATATATATAATATTAATGCATAACTGGTTCGTCACGATATGGATGAAATATGGCCGATGTGACTTTAAATATATTACTCACTCACTCACTCACTCACTCACTCGGTATGAACAATTCAAGAAGAATTTTAAGGTAACAGTTTATTTCATATTGTTTGATAGGCATTCCTTAAGGAAAGGTGTTTTTTATGAAGTCATTTCTACCTACTGTGTCTGGACAAATTTAAGGATCAGTAGAGAAGCCAAGTGAGTTCTGTGTTATGGGATATTCCAACTAAGTGAATAGAAACATGTTTAACCCTTGACACTGAACATATATATATATCACAATGAATCAAGTGTTGATTAAAGCCTGTAAGACTGAATTTAAAGATGAAATAAGCCCTGCAAATTTGTCTACCGTGCGTCACTTATGAAAATTAATAAAAGAACAGTTTATCCAGAGCTTCCCGCCACAACATATAACCCCATCACAACAGTACAGATAAATGTTCATGTTTTATTGACACCTTTATTGTAAATTATGTATTCCATTGTTCCATAAGAAAGTTACTGCTCAAATAGCATACAAAATGCATGTTTCTGCACTCCTTAATAATTTTATTCAAATGATGCCTCAGACAATCTTGGTTGGATTTATTTGGTCAAAAACATGACCTGATGAAAATGTTAAGAATCACAGTCTCCAAATACCTGCACTCCATAGTAATGTTATTCATATGATGCCTCAGACAAATGCCCTTCCAAAACTTACAATACAAACACTTTCCATATTCATAAGAGATCTGCTAAAAACCTAGTGTATAGAAAAGAGTCCGACTATATCATGAGCATGTGTTTACGAATCATTATGAAATAGTGATTATACTAGGTGGTCGTGAAAAGGTTAGCGCATCCTGATACCGGTCTAACACACATGCAAAGGCAAGTCACAGCTCAGTAGTGTCCCTATTTTTGGATTTCACTCTGTGGGTTGTATTTATTTCTCTTGCTCCAAAACATGCTCTAATGAATATGCTGAGAATAACAGCAAACAAATACTAATAGCATCACTTCAATCTGTGTACTGGCTGTGAAGTAACGATGTGACTTTCAAGTTTAACTCACTCACTCACTATTGTCAAAACATATGGCTTTCATATGCATAGCAGAGGATGGTTTTACATTTGCTGGGCATACATATATACCACAGCCAACAAAAGTATCCCAACAGCAAATATTAACATTGGGATGGTCCAGTCGATTGACGCAAGCTTTTTCTCTTCAGATACATCGCCTGTATCGGCTCAGCATCATATTTCAAGTTTTCATTCGTTAGCTGAATAATCTGAGCACCCATCGAGGTTTTCTTTCACAAATGTTTCCCATGATTAAAAATATAAATATGACCTTTTAAAATAATTCATATATTTGTAAATTAATAATACACATTGGTTATTAGTTTTGAGTGAAGGTGAATGACACTAACTTACAAATTATTCAGGACATTTTGCCTACATACTCAGAGAAAGGTTTTACATTCACTGGATAAACATATATACCACAGCCAGGAAAAGTATTACAACAGCAAATATTGACATTGGGATGGCCCAGTCGATTGTCTCCCCATCATCAGGTGCATCCTCATACATCTTCTTCTGAAGTTTGTTATCAATCATCTTCTCCACTTGGTCAGCTGTAGAGGTGAGGATTCTGTCAAGAGCTCTCAGGTGAAGCAGCTTGGTGTTGGTGTCTGTTTCTGTTTCCGTCACATAATTCTTCACGTAACTGATGGCATACCCTGGAATGCCAGTTTGTTCTGACATGTTCTTCACTGCTTCTTGTACTAGAGGGGAAGTGTACAGGTTGGGGAGATTATCTGGATCCTTGAACTGTGGGTCACACTCATCCAGGTGAGTCAGCACCAGGTGGTAGGACAGAGCTGAAACACGATACATTTTATCATTACTGGCATGTAATCAGTACAGGCGGTACTACAAAGCTCTTTTGTATATCGCAATAAACACCCTGAAGTTGCGTGACCTTGTCAATAGGAAGTTCTATCATACGTCTAAACTTACCTCCACGTCCGCCTAATTGTATGATAACATCTAGCTGGCGCTTCAGTTCTTTACCCAGAGTGATGCCATGATGGAGAACCAGAACAACACATGACACATCCCTTTGCGCCTCTTGTAGGTTGCCTTTCACATCAAGGGTTTCTGTTATCTTGAAGCAAACAAATGGATATAAATCTCAATAGATTGTGCATGCTGATTATGTTACCTGCGTCAAGATATATTTAGGCCATATCTAATATATACATATATGGTAGTACTCTGCTGTGCTTACCTCGGCATCAAAGCGAACCCTGCCGGATGCAATGGCTTCAATATTCTCCGTTTTCAAAAGATTGGATTCAAGTATTCCTGGCATGTCAATAACCCAGTGATGTCCATATCGTGCAGCCTGAAACTGTAAAATGAAGCTTTGTGTTGTAGGATTAAGCTCAGCTCAGACGTTATGTTTAGAAATGTATTGGACTCAACTGACACATAGTCAATTTTACACATGCAACTCCAATATCTCATGATAACAATGGTCACGGAGCTAAGTAAGAATCATCACTGTAATCTCAAGTGGTGTATAGATTCTACTTTGGGACACGTTTTAAGAAAAGTTCGTATTGAGGTAACGACTTCCAAACGATGTACGAGGCTACCAAAATGTATCAATGACATAATCTTATGGTCTCTGGTGAGTATAAAGCTATCAGAGGTGACGAAAATACTCGAATCATAAGAGACCATTATAATTAGGAAATAGCATAACAAAAGGATAATAATCTAATTTACAGTGAGGAGAATTATTCAAGATTTGTTCCAGAGAAAACATACATTTTTTGTTAGTGCCCCATCGCACAAACCGACAGCATAGTAGTTGGCAGGTATGTCATAATCCTTAAGTGCTGATCTCAAGCCATTGCAGAAGGAGGATTTTCCAGCACCACCTGGGCCAAATATCAGGATCTTCCCACATATCACCTTCCCTTCCTTGTCTTTGTTGCGTTTATAAAATTTCTCGCGGAGTCGTTTTACCTCCTGCAGAATAGTTAATAATTGAAAGCAATAAAGATACAGCTATTCATTATATAATACTCAACGCTTGCTAATGACACAATTTTGGTGATATCATAATAAATAAAGATATTTATCATATAATGGGTAGGTTTCTCGGCAAGGTAAAGCCAACGGATAAAAACGATATATGTTGGGGTCATATGTGGATAGAGATGCAAATATCAAGTAGGGACTACTTTTCACTGTTTACAGTCACCATATGCTTGAACTTTATCAAACACATGTGGAATGAGCTGCTGATCTTCCTACCAAGAAGTCCTTTCGTTCTCTACAAACCCTTGGCAAGGTTCTAAATGAAGGGAGTTACAACCTTCCCTTGGCAACTATTCAGAACCATATTGGGACAGTACTAGGTTGTGGTTGATTTACACGGATCACATAGCGCCACTGACAATTCTTTTGTTTTGGACAATTAATCTCTTTTCAGGATTGTTTGATGTTTTAGTTTTCGTCAGATACTCTTTCTTTGATGGGTGATCTGCCATATGTGTGGCAAATGACAACATACTTTTGTTTATCAACATGTCTTCATGCAATATTGTCTCTGGCTATTTCAACAAAGTTTTGATCCTTAGCAACTGTTGAGTAGAGTGTATGTCAACTACAGCTGTTCAGCTCTCTGCGAGAGTTTTATTTCTATCTTTTGTTTCTTAGAAGAACACACCATTGATGCCTGATCTTCTCCTTTTGATGTCCCTCTATTTGTCTTATTTGGTCCCCATGAAAACTTCTGAAAATTAAGAATCAAGATTAAATATTGTGCACATATATAAACATGATCACACTTCAAAAAGTGAATGGGAATACATTTGGCAAGGTAACAGAAAGGTGTCTAAAACATTTAGACTTGAATTGAAACAAGAAGGCCTGGGTTTGTGTAATTTTGCTTGAGTAGTACACCTGGGGAGCTGGCTGCCTGAGCGGGTTAAGTAATTATGTCACAAGTGAAGCTTGTAGCTAATCAGCATTATAGTATAAGGTTGGGGTGATTCAAAAATAGTTAGTTTTTCCTGCTTCTTGGGTGTTGGCCAGACCTGTATTTTAATCTCCTCATTTTTAATGTTAAAGTTCAGAACACTGTGTGAGAGATTGTATCCCATGTCGGGGCTTGTGAAACTGAACTAGAAATCATGCTGATATCTGCAAATGTGTGTCTTGGAAAACTTGCATTGTGAGCTTATGTGGAACTATGGATATATGTGTTTTCGTGGAACAAGGAGTGGAGTGAACAATCAAACATGGAAATCAGGGTGACTATATAAGTTATCTGAAGTTGATAAGTTATCTGAAATGTCAGCAATGAGTTGGGTTTTTTTCGTTACAATCTGCAATTTTATTCGAATAGGCTTACAGACAGTCACATGAAACAGCTGATCTAATGTTGTTGTAGTATAATGGATACAGTTGGTTTCATTTTTCAAATAACAATATTCTCCTTGATTGAACTAGAAAGTATATCTAGTACATCACGATTGGAAAATGTATACGGCGATCGACGAGTAAATGAGACCGTCTATCATTTGACTAACACTATTACAATATTTGGCGCAGTTTTCCAATTTTGGTATGTTGACATGGATCATATATTAAACAACCTACACTTTTAATATGGTTGCTTCATATCTATAAGAATGTCGAATGGTTCAATTCATAACATCAACAGTACAAGTAATTAGATCTACACACAATATATAGATAATCGATTTCGGAAAGACAAACTGTTTTCAGTGTAAATGTGATTTCGTTTTGATGTTTTATGTAGTTTTATTTATGTTTTTTTTTTCATTTTGCTTTATCTAAATTATCAAATACTTCACCCAGTGACATAGTAGTGATTACTTTGTTTTGTATCCTTAGTAAGAAATAGATTTTTCCAAAAATGAATATTTGTCTAACAGCAAAATCAAAGCATTCTTGTGGTTCTTTTTCGCCATTTTTACTTGTACATTTTCCCTCCAAAGCCGTAGTTTAGCTAGGGCAAAAAAGGAAAGGCATAATAACTGAAAAACATATATATTTATCATTTTGCTGGTTAAACTTTCGAAGTTCAATACCAAGAATTTTTCTTTTCTTTTATGACGACCCGTGAAGTTCCGGGGTAGAAAGGGTCTTCAGCAACCCATGCTTGCGGTAAAGGGTGACTATGCTTGTCGCGATAGGCGTCCAACAAGATCGGGTTGTCAGGTTCACTGACTTGGTTGCGGCATGTCATCAGTCCCATTTGCGTGGGTCGATGCTCATGATGTCAGTCACTGGGTTTCACTGGTCCAGACTCGATTATTTACAGACCGCCGTCATATATCTGAAATATTGCTGAGTGCTGCGTTAAACAACAAACCATCTAACCAACCTAATATGACAAATAATTCCATTACTTTCATTGACCTCCGATCATTATCTATTTTAACTTTTCCCTAGTAAAATGGGATGGCATTGGAAACTACTGCAAATAAACTATCACGTATGTCCTAAAATATGCATGTATACATACCTAGGTGTAAATACACTTCTAAAGTCGTATTTATAAAACATTTTGGAAGAAATATTTGTTTTTAATGGACTGGCCATACTAATATATATTTTGATCAATTGTCTAAGAGTATGGCAGCCAAGTTTGAAATACTAGCTGAGACGAGGATGTAAGTTTTCTCGTGGTCATAGTAAAACAAATTTGTTCAGAATTTTGAGCACATGAAATCTATATACACAAATACTACTTAAATTCGAAGAAATTCATATTTTCGTAATTTCTCTTTCACTTAATCTAGATATTATTTTTAACTGTACCGTAAAACAATAATATTGCCCACTTTCACCTGCACTTTGCAAGTTATTGATTCCTTGTATTAAATATAGCCTACTCTGCTCTTCCTTAACTTTCAAATTCAATTATTAGAATTGTCCAATTACGTCTCGTTTCAATCTTTATATAAGATTTAATCCATTAACAAGACATCATGACACCCTAAATATCAATAGGCGGTCTGTGTGATTGCACAACAAAGCAATGACATATGGCGCAAGTGATCGAAAATAGGTTTGTTGAATAGATTTGCTGCCATGAAAACGTTTTAATGATTTTGATTGAAACTACATGTATACTTACTCTTGGATGGTATTATTACGTTAGTATAATCTTGTTAATTATCAAGAAATAATAATGATGTGAGCGATGTCAATTTGACTATTGTTAGGGCTGTATACCGATCTTTCACATTTTGTCCTTTGAAAACGTACGATGTCAATTACCTCGAAGTTATTTTTATCACTAATAAAAGAGAACGGTCACTGAAATCTACATGGACGTTACCGGGATTTCTTCAAGATATACATTCCAAACTGTCATTCGTATCGCGATATTATCTTTGAAACAGTCTGCGTATGAACTTATCGTGACCACTTCCGTCAATTATGTTTTGACGTCAGAAAGACGAACGATTTCATCTCGATTTATTATCAGTAAATATAACTAACAGAAAATTCTTAATAAATGTGGCACTCGCGAAGAGCAACCTCCCCGTGGTGAATGCTGGGTCACGCTAATGTATCCTCAGCACCCCACTGCTGGTCGTTGCCACTAAATTGGGCAACCTGTTTGCCGTGGGTTGCGCCTCCTGTGTCGGTGGAGCAAGGGATCCTGGTGGTTGAGGGCACTGGAGCCAGAAACAGGTATTTCTTTTGCCCAACACACCACTTCGACCCTAACTTCACCTAGACGAGTGGTAGAATGGGCCCGATTCTATCAATCGTCTGGTCACCCCATGCCCTGTGCATGGAATGCTTGATTATTTAAAAATGTCATCTCAGACCATTTTTGATCAGGATATCTGATGACCTTGATTATGTACATTGAAAATTTGCCCAGAGTCCCATGCCAGAAGCGGTGGCTCATGGGCCAATCTGGTGATACAGACCTCTGAATTCTGTGTTTTTATAAGAAAATGCCATGTGCCGAACCAGCCTGACATTTCTCCTTTAATTAACCACAGCTATTCATGTCTCTATTTCTGGAGTATAACATCCTTGTTGTTGCAGGCTGGCTTCAACTGCAACATCATCCTTGATGACATTCGTTGGCGGGTGGGGAGCAAGGGTGGGAACTTCCCACATTATTCTAAACAGTGAAGTGTATCTGTGTGCGTGATGTATTTTGAATTTTATTCGACTTCAGAGTGAGGGTGGAAATGGATGGACATGTATGTCTTCTGGCATCCAGGAGGTTAAAAGATGTCTCACACCTAGGCAAAACATTTTTTTACTGTAGTTGCTTTTTCACTATCTGTAAACAGCTACTGGCAAAAGCATGTACAGGTTGGCTTATACATGTCAGCTTTATTTCCATTAGACATTTATTCTACCGAGTAAAGATTATCTTTGTAAATATATATTTTAAAAAACACAATATAGATGATACACAGTAGCATAGTACTTAAGTTACTTTCTGGTGATTTTAGTTTATTTAGGAATGACAAAAGTAATGCTGAGTATAGTGTTGCCTTAATTTCCTGACGGAATGTCACTTCTATTCCTACGACTATCTGGAAGCAAACTGTATGACTAAAAACGTGGCTTAACATCCTATTTCTATCGGTTGGCATATTTGCTTGTGTCAACAATGTTTTTAAAACATGATGATAACATTGATGTAATATCTTGTTGCATAACATTTATGCACCATGTTGAAAACACTGTAAGAACATGTTATGAAATAGTTTAGCCTGTCTTATAGCATGATGTTCTTTAATAACTTCTACAAATATTTAAGTAATATTTTATAAAACGGTAACATTCAACACCTTATTTGTTTGAATTTGTATATGTGTCCATTTCTGCAATGTGTTGAAAACATTGTAACAACATGGTCGAACATTTCAATAACATTTCAAACAGTTGTGAAACCATCTTTTAAACGTTAATCTTAGAAGTAAAAAAACATTAATAAAACCTTATGAAAATGGATGAGCTGAGATTACAATTTTTTTAGATCAAGCCACCTGTTTCTGTACTTTATTTTTCTCATAATAATTTAATCCTTAAATTTGCTTATAGTTTAAAATATGATATATGATTTCATAGGTTGAGTCGTTGTATTTTCCCAAAAATACGATAATATATTTTATGGAGACAAAAACGTAGAAAAGCAATGTACAATGTCCGCGTAGCATAACAGGTTTACACGATCTGAACAATGACAATAAGACTTACATTTATATCTCCATGAACCAAAAAACAGATTTGAAATCAATTCTTATAGATAAACAAGATAACAATAATAACTTCAGAGACAATTAACACAAACAAATTGAAATCAGTGATCTCAGAACCTTATATGATTATGAAAAGTGGTTTATAATTTGTATTCATCGCAAATAATTAAGGGGCTAAAACATGGGCTGGTTGGCTTGTGTCTGAAAGGAGTATTCATATCCAACTGTGGCATGGTATCACATTTGGACAGCACTATATAATCGGCACCAGCCTGGATTAGTACAAGCAGCCGCACACACACGTGCATGCACGTCGCTATATATGTGAAATAATCTTGGAAACGATGTTAAACATCTAAAAAATCCTGCACCTAGAATATCTTTTTAAAAACTGCTCTTTTTGTGATCTGCGAGACGTTTCTTGTGCGTTGACCTGTCGGACATCTGTTCAGGTATATTAGGATACAAATAGTTATTATTTCACACTTACCATTAACGTTTCATCCCTCCTCTGCTTTTCATCTCTCTCATCCAGAAGGCGTTGGTTTTCTATCTCAGCAGTTTCTTTCTTTTGTCTCATCTCCTCTGATTTCTTGGCTTCATCTTCTGCATGTGCTCTTGCCTCTTCTGCTCTCTCTCTCTCCTCCTTTGCAATTTCATGTGCCTCAAGTGCTCTTCGTTTTTCCGTTTGAGCTTGTTCTTTAGCTTGTTCAGCTCTTCTTGCGTTTGCAGCTGCTTCTTCCTTTGCTTTGGCAGCAGCCTTCCTTTCCCTTTCTGCCTGTTCCTTCTCCTCATTCGCTCTTTGCCTCTCCTTTTGGGCTCGTTCTTCGGCATCTTTAGCTCTTGATGCACTTTCATGTGCTTTTTCCTTTGCTTGATCAGCTTCTTCCCTTTCCCTTTCTGCACGTTCCCTTTCATCTTCCGCCCGCCTGCTTTCGGCTCTCAGTGCCTCATCTTGCTGCGCTCTCTGTATTAATGTTTTACACCGGAGTAACCATTATCCTAGCTAGCATGGTGGCATATGATTAATCTAATATCAGTGTTCGAAATAACTGCCTGCCCGACCGTCCGAGACGGGTTGATTTCAACTTCTCTAGCTTATCCTGAGAAACATATGATTATAGTGGGCAGGCAGGTTTTGGTCAGGGCTGGCAAGGATTTCAGCTAGCCAGTCCTGTGGTTTGGCTGAAATTTTTGGGAGATTCATACCCGGCTAATATTGAAAGTACAATTACATCACTCGTTGCCTAAGGGATGTTCTATGCCATTCAATCATGCCCTGATTTTGACCTATTATAACCCCATTACTCTTCATTTTACTGAACAGTGTGTTGTTGAATTTACAATTTTGCTGAAATCATAATTCTTCATAAATTTTGATCAACTTTACTTTTGGCTCAAAATTCATGACCAAACTGATACATGTTACTTGAATCACGTGGAATGCATGATCAGCAGTTTAGTTTGCACAGATATATGCTGCATATGCCTATTCTACCCTGGAATCGTCACGGGTCTGAACACATATATGTACGTTTTAATTGTATTGTTGTTTTCCTTTATTATTATCATTCATTGTTATATACTGAACCGAAAAAGAAACGTCACCCCACGTAACATTGCATGAAATGTTGTCATCTTAATATCTTGGTAATTTTTTACCAAGTTTCTAAAATTTAACATTACCTTGTCCGAAAAAATGAAATTTGATGATAAAAAAACAAAGCAGGTGACAATAAAACCGATCGCGGCAACGGCTTTGGTAACCTGATGCACGTGAATTCCATGCAAATTTAAATGCACATGCATCCCCCCATTTTGTGCCCTATAAAAAAGCACCAAGATCGGATAACATTCATTCGTTATTGAATTATGCTAAAACATGCCAAGATTGATAAGAAATCAGCGACACCAAGCCCTTGAACTACTGCAAGCTGGACAAACCGCTCGGCAAGTGGCCAATGATTTTCAAGTCCATGTAAGGACCACATACAGGCTCGAGCAATGGTACCAGACCAGAAAACACTACAGATGACCGACCATGTAGTGGAAGACCAAGGGTCACCACCCGACATCAGGATCGTCAGATTGTGCGACAGCATCTTCAAGATCGCTCAATTACTGCTGGGGAAACTGCTCCACAGACCATGGGGACACACCAGCGACACATAAGTGCGGACACTGTGCGTCGACGATCGACGAACAGACACCTCCACTGTCACATGCCACACCGAGAACCCATTCTGACACCACGTCATCGCCGGGTCTGTCTTCAAGGGGCAACACAGCACCAGCATTGGCACCACAAACAGTGGAGAATAGTCCTCTCCTCAGACGACGACCGTTACTGTATCTCAACAGCAGATGGCAGAGAGTTTGGCGACGCCATCGGGAACGTTAATCGGATGCTTGCGTTGTTGAGAGAGACTCGTGGGTTGGTCAGAGCATCATAGTGTGTAGGGTGGAATTGGTCTTGCAAGGCAATGGTGTCACAGCAGCTCGGTACATTGATCAAGTCTTGAGACCACATGCCATACCTCATTTGGAACGTCGCCACAACCACTAGTTTCAGCCTGATAACGCCCGTGCCCATAGTGTGAGAGCAACAAGAGACTTCCTCCAGCAGAATGGCATTAGAACCATGCAGTGGCCTACCCACAGTCCCGATTTAAATCCAATTGAGCACCAGCGGGACGACATTCAAAGACGGCTGAATGACGTCCGACCAAGGCGTCTCAAAGTATGTTAACAGTATTTGGACAAATAAGGTTTCTCATATATCTATCCATGGTGACGTTTCTTTTGCAGTTCAGTATATTTGGCGAGGTTCTTGCCTATGGCTTAGTGCTATGTATTCTGTTTTTTTTAATTATGTGTAAAACAAATAAACAATTAGGATGACTTACGTAATTTTCTGAAAAGATTGTAGAGATTTCAAGTCAGGATATGCCCTAAGTGTCCTGTTTTTCTTGACATGGGTTTGTGTCATAGCTAAACAATGGCGATTGCAGCATGAAATAACTGCAAACATTTGTCACAATGCATATATACAACAACAAGTTTAAGAATTAAATCAATCTGAGGAGTGTTATTCTTGTGTTTTAGTTTATACTAATAAAACGTCCTATAAACATAAACGTGCAGTGTCCATATTCAAAAAACTGATTCGATCCTAAGAATTAAACCTCAAAAGTGAAGGAGTGTTCTTAAAGCAGAAACTGATGGGTTGTGTGTAAAGAGAAATACATTAAAACAAATTGGGCAACCAATTCCCTTCCATTGCATTCGCTACTAAAATGTTATATAGTATAGCTATTACATGTTACACCACTGTGTATACTTTGTGCCTACTAAAAATACTGCTTTTTTCAAAAGATTCTGACTGCAAGAACATTGGCGTGAAGAGAAATATTCCTTACCTTTCCTCCACCCACATCTGTAAGATAAAAGTGCGCAAGTGGCAGTTTGATGAAGTGAACACATGTTGGTTTTAAAATATTACCAAATGCTAGTAGTAAGAGTGTTTGTAAACTTGATGCGTATAAACTGTATACGTCTCAATCAATTTAATTAACCAGTCTTAATTATCATGATATATTTTTAAATGTTTCAAAATCACATTACTGTCACATTACTACAGCTAACACACACCCTGTAAGATGATTTCAACTCGTAGGGTTATATTTCAGATGTAAACGCCAAGACAACTGATGAATTAGAATGAATCGCAATTTTAGTTGTACTGAATGTTACGGTTGATAAATATGTAGGTGTATAAAATCAGCCAGGGAGAGGACGATTTCATTTAAAAACAGATGTAAACTTACCCCAGTCCAACCAGCTCATGCTTTATTGATGCGCTGAAAAAGGCAAACATAGAAACATGATCTGACACATACTAATATGTTGGTATATACTTGGTCTAAAGAATATATACAGGTTAAATGTTCAAAATGGTTTGAACATCTATCACATAACCTCATAACCATATGAAATCATTATTTATTTGGCCTCATAATCAAAATAACATTTTCTCATCCATTATCCGATCCGGAATTGACATTATTCTCCAAATAAAAACGGTAATTGAGCTTCAATCATAGATACAAACGAAAACAAAAAGACGAGAATCAACTAAAGTCTGCAAACATATACTAGTATCAGGGTAGTCTCACATCTATTAACTTCATGTGATGTCAACTTACGTTGCGTTGTGGCCTGCGAGGAATAACACGTCTCAACAGCTTGGTGTGCACACATTCACTGAACCAGGATGTCCGGGGCGGCGGTATAAACAAGACGAGTCCTTCCAGCTGGGTGGTGTGCAAAGCCTGACAGGCTGCCAACCACATAGCTGTGACAGGCCCACGCGAACGTACAGGTTATTTTAAGTTGCCTGGCTCCCGCAGTAGGTACAGGTGAGTTAGATATTTCCATATTGTTTTAAGTACCAGCTATTGATAACATGTAGTGGATTAACAGTTCCGTCCTAACTATATGTGACCTGGAATCCGTCTACGTTTGCTTACACGATGTTCTCAACTAAGCAACGTGACATCTATCGCTTTTCATGTAAAGCTTTGATGTCATTACTTACTTCAAATACATAGTTGACTCCTGATTACTGCTTTTTCAACAAGATTGAAGGTAATGGTTGTGTTCTTTAATACATTTCATCTATCATCTAAACAAAATAAACTCTCATCGTAGTTGAAGCAGATGAACGAACATTTTACGTTCTCTTTTATTTCATAAGAAATTTTCAATGACGTTTTAGTTCTCCTCAAACATTGTTCAAAATTATTACATGCTTTTTTTAATGAAATGAGGAGATTTACTTTGTGTTCAAGATACTTTAGGAAAATGCCTATCTGGTGACAACAGAACACAAAGTAAATAAGTATTGTCAGGTTTGATATCGCAGGAAAACTGTCGTCTAAACCTATTATAATCAACACTCATTATAGTAATGTTCTAATCATTCATCAAGCAAATGAACCAAACTTTTACAAATTGTAAAAATGAAACATCAGTTCTGATGAGAATTTATTTATACTAATATAAATATATTTATTGGGTTCGTAAATTGAAACACAATTTCGTTTATCTAAGGATCCCTGGTATGGTGCTGACATTTCAATCAGGCACATCTGAATTCGAAATCCAAATCATGAGTTCTTTTTTTAAACACCATCTCACCATACCTCATCGCATAGTGATTATGTTCTAATCACACGTCAACCAAATGAACGAATCTTTTACGTTCGCTTCTCTCTATTATCAATTGAACAGTTGTTGTTTGTTCTGCTCAAAGTATTGTTTATATACACAGCAGGCTGTGTTTATTGAAATGAAAGGATTTCTTAGTTTCGTTGTTTCGTTAGTTCACAAACTTAGGATAGATCCAAGGATCATCTGAATGGTGCTGAGACTTCAATAACAATAATCAAACCTAATCAAATGCATTTTTTGTAAGATTCTCATGGTCAAGTCAGAGAAGAGAGAAGCCATTTAAATACCTAAATATGGACGTATTTTTTCTTGTAAGATTATCAGGGGCTTTCTTGTTATGATCTATTTCAGATATGCCACTGCCTCTTCTTGTTCTGCCTTGCTCACCTTATGATGACAAACTCAAGAAGTCTTTCATATACCAACTGTCACTTCATGTTGACATAAACAGAGAGCTGTCGCCGACTGTTTCACCACCGATCATTGTGATATTCCGGCCTCAAGGCAGACCGAGCGATGAATTTGATGGCGTGGTTCAACCTTTCCTTGTCATAGGTAAGTTGTGTTGTGAATGAAGACTGCTATGTTGAAGAGTGCATATTGATATATATGTTGATTAATTGTTTTATTCTCGAATGCTTATCATCTTCAGTAACTCTGTAAAATGTTGAAGAATTTGATGGAGTTGTTCTACCTTTCCCTTGTAAATGTGAAATGTGTTGAATGTTATTCTGTAATGATGCATTATCTTATCCAGTCTGGTGAATGCGAAATTAAGGACTTCTATACAAAAAGTAATGAATTATTAAATGTTTCATTTTGTCATTAAGACAAGTTTTCTTGTCCTTCTTTATAATGAAGAGGGGTTTACGACTATAGTTTTCAGCATAAGATATTTTGATAAATTGTAGTTTTACAGATGCTATTCTGGAGAACATATCAATCTGAACATAATTATAATTTAAGCATCTATTAAACTGAAGATATAAAAAGCATTGATCTTTTCATTTCAGGTAATTCTAACTGTAGGAACATTATTCTCTTCACTGCCTTTGCCACGTCACTGCGGTATGGCCGGGGTTTCACTCCAGATTGTGTATCACGCTTTAAGTACACGGACAAACTCTTTATAACGTCTGGACATCTTGATACACAAGTCAACAAGTCCACATTTGAAAGACTTGGGGCTATCCTTGTGAACGAATATGAATTTAAGGTATGTACATGTTATAAAACAACTGGGACATAATTAAAAGAGATGACACTGTTATATATTTGTAGGATAAATGTAAAGCAGGAATTTAACGATTTGAATCCGATTATTTTGTTTGATATATTAGCAGGTTACTGATGACCAATCACAACTAGGCGATTCTACTAGAAGTGATGCTAACAGCCAAGTGGACAAAGGCAAATCTGCTGGAAGAGATGCTGACAGCCAAGTGGACAAAGGCAAATCTACTGGAAGTGATGCTGACAGCCAAGTGGACAAAGGCAAATCTGCTGGAAGTGATGCTGACAGTCAAGTGGACAAAGGCAAATCTGCTGGAAGTGATGCTGACAGCCAAGTGGACAAAGGCAAATCTGCTGGAAGTGATGCTGACAGTCAAGTGGACAAAGGCAAATCTGCTGGAAGTGATGCTGACAGTCAAGTGGACAAAGGCAGATCTACTGGAAGTGATGCTGACAGCCAAGTGGACAAAGGCAAATCTGCTGGAAGTGATGCTGACAGCCAAGTGGACAAAGGCAAATCTACTGGAAGTGATGCTGACAGCCAAGTGGACAAAGGCAAATCTGCTGGAAGTGATGCTGACAGTCAAGTGGACAAAGGCAAATCTGCTGGAAGTGATGCTGACAGCCAAGTGGACAAAGGCAAATCTGCTGGAAGTGATGCTGACAGTCAAGTGGACAAAGGCAGATCTACTGGAAGTGATGCTAACAGCCAAGTGGACAAAGGCAAATCTGCTGGAAGAGATGCTGACAGCCAAGTGCATAAAGGCAAATCTGCTGGAAGAGATGCTGACAGTCAAGGGCACAAAGGCAAATCTACTGGAAGTGATGCTGACAGTCAAGTGGACAATGGCAAATCTGCTGGAAGTGATGCTGACAGGCAGGTGGACAAAGTCAAATCTACTGGAACTGATGCTAACAGCCATGTTGACAGAAACTACTCTGCTAGAAGGTGTGCTGGTGGTCAAGTGGACAGAGATCACTCTACTGTAAGTAAGGCCAACAGCCAGGGGGAGAGAGGCCACTCTACGGGAAGAGATGCCGACAGCCATGTGGACAACGCCCTTTCTTCCAGAAAAGATGTCAAAGCGGGCAAAGCGCACTTCACTGTAAGTGATGCCACAGGCCAATTGGACAACGGCAGCTCTGATCCAAATTCCGAAACAGGAACCATTTGCAATCTCGGTGACATTAGTAAGTATTTATGAACAACATGTGTGTACCCTTGTTTTGGTTATATTATCTCAGTGATACCCCATTTATCCCGGCAGTAAGGATCTCTGATATTGTCCGGAGTGAAATATTTCCAGATTAAAGAAACATGGGTACAAAGAGCATAACGCTGTATGCATAGAAGTGTTGTCAGTTGTAATTATTCTGAAGTTTCTGAGTCTATAACTATCACGAATTCAATCCTTTCTGTATTTCAGACAGATTACGGATGATACGGCAAGAAATGGAGAGAGGAACAACTGACTTGAAAGGCAAGGTGGAGAAAAGGTCTGCGTTACAACCATGGATACGGATAATACTTGAAGCCGTGATGGAATATCTCTTCCCTAGGCAGGAGGTAACACAAATCACGTGATGTAGAATATTGTTCTTTCACATCTGCGATGTCTTTTAGATAAAGCATGTCGGCTTTACATATTTCTTCCTCTGAAATACTGTGGGTTTAACACTGCTCATAATTATGCATCCCTTTGGACATTCTGGGTTATGCCACATGCATGTCCCCCAAACTGTGTTAAATAGGGATTTGATGGTCAGGCTCTATGAATTCGACTGTGTGTAATGCTTACAGTTTCTGGTTTATCTGGATCAGATTCGACTGTTTACAGGACACTGTGAAATAAATTGAACAGTTGTTACTTGGCAATCACCAGCCTTCCCCCTGCTTTATTCCACAAACGTTCTTGTTTACACTGCAAAAAAATCCATCTATACAAGCTTGTATATGCTTTGGAATGATGATATTTCAAAAGCATATACAAGATTGGAATGATGATATATACAAAAATATACAAGTTTGTATAAACGACATATACAAAAATATATAAATTTTTATATATGGTGTATCCAAATTTGTTTTCTTTGTATATATTGGTAAAGGGGGATAATTGTTATGTATTTGTGTATAATTATTTTATATGTGCAAATTGAAATGTTTTAAGTTGAGCACTGTGTTTCTTTGTATATGTTGGTAAAGGAGGATTATTGCTATGTATTGTTCTATAATTGTTTTGTATGTGCAAAATAGTACAGTATAATTACAAAAAACTGATATAGTGGCGTGTAACATTACTGGAATGTTTAATTAGTCCTCCACACTGTTAGCGGGAGTATATACTCTCCTTGCAATGATAATGACGGGTAAGCGATTGAGGTGTCTGGTACTTTTCCTGGCGCGGTGCTTGGTATGTGAGTAGACTTTATGGTCAAATGCACAGAGAGGATAAGCTGTCGGGGGTGATTGTATTGGCGGTGGCTTCTGTTTTGAAAGTGTTAAAATCAATTTGTGCTGAGCTTGTATTCGTGTGTACGGGGAGGCTGCGATGTGATTTGTAACATGCTCTCGTGCACATGGCAGATTAGCCAACAGATTGGATTGCACAGAGGATGAAAACTATTTTATTATTAATTTAATGTGTTGAATTTGGTTTGTTCTGAGGTGTCGGTTTAATTGTAGGGTATACATTGTTATAATGTCAAATCTAGGCGGAACGCAGAAAATCGCGTTTTTTTAAAACGGCAGTCCTTGGAAAAATCCTCTTCAAAATATAATCAAAGATTTTTTTTAAAATATACTCCGAAAATATCGTGTTGCCGGAAACTGTGGCGGATTGTCCTGTTTTCGATCAGAGTTTTCAGCATCAAACATGCCTATATTATTATTCATCACACAATCAAGGGATCATTTCCGGATATCATACGTTTTCTACAAAGGTATGCTTTTCTCAATATTCTCAACATTGCACGATTGTGGCAGTATTGCTCCCAGGTGGTGGCGGCGTCCACTAATGCCTACATCCACTAATGCCTACGGTCTACAATAAACAAAGTCATGCACCAGTGATTTTCAGCGACACCTGCTATCAGTGCATCATTTCTGCATCATTGCAGTAGTTCTTATAGTATACACCAGCAGATATTTGATGATTTCAAAGAATATTCAAAGAGTGCATTCCTAACATGGGTATGTTGTTTTCATTGTATAGGCATTATTCCACACTGCTTTATTTTTTTGTAGGCAATAGTAACTGTAGGCAAACGTGAACGTAGGCATTAGTGGCTGGAACCCAGGTGGCCGGATGCGCAGAAAGTATTCCCGATTTTTTAAAAGTACTGATGTAACTCCGAAATGTTACATCCGCCATCTTTGTTTATTTGACTTTCGCAACTGTTCCATTTGTTGGTATGAATATTGTCTAAACGGCACAAAATTGCTTAAAATGCAATCGAATGTTCAAAACATTTCTTGGGGCTCAGCCTAATATCGTTAGCAAAGTCAACAAACTACGACCATAAATGTAATGTACAACAGGAGCAAGAAAATTAAAAAAATTCTTACAAATACAAATGATAAGAAGTCGAATATGAAATCTTATACCTGTATTATAAGAACAAGAAATTGAGACGCTTTGACGTATTCAGTTTAAATTGACATGTTCTTTACTTATGTAAATGCAAATGATAAAAAAATAATTAACAGTGAGATACTCTGGCTATTGTGCAAAGCATCCAGTCCCAATGAAAGTGAACAGCATGCCAATGTTATACAAAGCAATCATATAATATATCGCAACTGATAGTTCTAAACAATCAGGCAATCAACATAATGATGGTATCAGTGGGCACATCGTGATATTTGAAGATAAAAAATTATAACACATGTCCGCAGTCTGGGAAGTAGTACACAGCATCTTGACAATGAACAAAAAGAAGAAGAAGAATAGTTTATTAAAGTGTCACTATTTACACAACCAACCATTTTGGCTTTCGAGACAAAATTCACATCACACCCCAATATAGAAGTACCACGAACACACACATCCGCAAATTCAGTCACTAACCCACCCACATGTATTACGTTACACACACCACACCACACCACACCACACCACACCAAACCAGTACTACGGATTCCATACTCGGTATTGACCCAAGACATATCCTTCTTCATGTCAGGGAATGGGTTTTTGGATGGTGGTCAACGGACACGTCTTGCCTTAGGGAAAGCTGCTGTAGTGTCCAGCTTCTTCATGTATGTCTCATCTTTGAGCCTCTTCGCCATCTGCAGTTCCGTCGACTCGCAGTTCTTTGGTCGTACTGTAAAAAATCTTTATGTCGTCTTCGTCATAGTTACTTTCCTCGGAGGGCATCAACTGAGCTATCTTTAATGTGTCCTCGTACCTCTGTTTCTTCTGGACGGGAAGGTTGCGATGGCGTATCCCGAGGACTCGGTTACGACTCTTCTGAAGAAAAACTTTATTTACAATTGCATTTCAAATTTATAATGCATATGCATGTATATCCATGTATATCCATGTATATGCTCATGAGCAAAGGAGGAAAATATGTGAAAATCAAATTCAAATTTATTCCGATAACCCTTTAGCAACGTGTCAGTATTATAGCTTGATGTATTAGAACAACACTATTTGTGAATGCCAGGTGCTACCGGTAGTGTAGGGTATGCTTAGCCTCTTTGAAGATTCCTTTCTTTGTAATTCGACATAAAACGGATTGCATCACAATCTAAGTAAACAATCTCATTTAACCCTTAATTAGTTAATTAATCTAGTTAACCTGCAGTATACTGTATCACTTAACGAGGAGTAATCCCTTGTCAGTTGTTGGTGAGTGATCTATTAATGTCTGGAGAAAGGGATTAGCCTTACTCACAATAAATTTACATTTCACACTGCAACAGAAGAGATTATCGATCATTATGCCTTTATAAGAAAGTGAGAAAGATAAAGAATGAATGATACAGAACGGGCCGTGCCTGCATTATATAGCCTGCAAGACTCGTCACTGTATTAATTAATTTCAATTTAACAGAATTTTCAACTGCTAAGTATATGATAAAGTGTTGAAGTAGCATTAGATATGTTTGAGATTACAGTTTTCAATTAACTGTATAATGTACCTTGCTGTCTTTGAGAGAGTCAGTGTCTGTAGAGCTGGCTTGGTCTAATTGGTATTCAAACCCTTGGACACTAGTATTGTTTACTAGCATAGTATTGTGAGCAGCCGGATGCGTAAATAATATGTAATATATTTCCGTATTTTATTTTATAGTACTTGTTGTTTTAATATTGTTAACAACCGAGGGAACGAAGATTTTTTTTGAAAAACCACATAACCACATGAAAAACAGCATTCATATGTTCTAGCAAAAGGAAACTTGATAAATATTCATTTTGGTTAATTTCTACTTTGGAAAACTTATTTGGCGCTCTGAAAGCTTGATGCTGTGTAATTTGGCACGTGCATGGTTGGATGCAAACCAAATGTTTAATTCTCGCAAATTAAGACACCAGCGGCGGTATAGGAGCATAAATCTGATGTCATTCAATACAGAATAATAAATCAAGATGGCACTTTCAATGTTAAGTTTAAGTATTTCTGAAGATATGGGTATTAAATCTTGATAACTGTTTTTAATCTTTGATCTTTTGGGAAAATAATAGTGGAACTGGTTGAGTGACTGGTGTATTCTACATTAAAAGTGAGAGATACGTGATTTACATCATTAAAATTTAAAGTGATACAGTGATACAATTATAAGTGAGGGTTGTGATTTATTTAGGAAAGAAGTCAGTATTTGGGGATTTAACTTACGCTTTCCGACATTATGCATATTTCGCACACAATTAAGAAAACAACATAATTCATTTATTTAGACGAAGTACAAATGCATCAATCCTAAATCACCCGACTAAGTACATAGTTTGTTTTATTTCGTGAATATACAAATTGCATAACACACTCCCTGAGGACAAACCCAAATGGCCCGTCCCTTTGTGATAGGTGTTAATTAGAGAATGTATTGCCACCACATAATGTCCCGGCACTTTTATGACATGTAATAAACCTAGTCGGTCCCTTGGTCTGTAACAACAACATTGGTTTTATAAAATCAAAGTAGCATAAATGTTACTTAATTCGTATCCAAAAATTGACTGAAAAAATATTACATGAATATAATTGCCTTTTTGGAGATAATATAATATTGGGAAAATATACTAAATAGTATATGATTAAAGAATTTCAGAATCAACTGTTTCTTGTATTTATGACCGACTTCACACAAACTGAATAATGAAACATATGTTTATATAGCTATAATTACATGCATTTCCCATACATAAATCCTAAATCCTTTGTCAAACAGAGAGAAGTCATATAGATATCATATCTAACTGGTACTAAAAGTTCACTATCAATCTCCTCTGATAACAAACTATTACGTTTAATATCCCCAAGCACCAATACCCAGTATGCTCATGGAGTAATAATCAGAAACCCGAATAATATCCTGTCTTCATCGTCACACCCGGTGAT